GCAGTGATGTCATTGTTAAAAAGCCCGGGGAGGGTAACATGGACTAAAATAAGCAGCGTGCACTAAATCTCACTTAAGTTGAGGTGGTCTGACAAAAACATGCAGTTATAGATCCTTACAACACGTCTTATCCCTTATAAACTCCAGCCAGGAGACAAATGGACGATTTGTAAGGATATCAAAATGTCACATTTTAGGATAGGCTGTAAATTTGATGAATTTACGTTTTCAATTTTACAAAACTGCTAAAAAGAAAATTTGATCATGGTTAGTCAGTGACAGTTTTTTTCAGATGTTTTATATCTCAAAAAAAAAAGTTAAATTTTGTAATTTTTTCGTGAACTTTCCAGTAAGATTGCCAATTGACATGCTCCATCCTTCGATCCATTTTCTTTCACTTATTCGGGGCCAGGTTGTGGGGGCAGCAGTCTACGTAGGGACTCCCAGACTTCCTTCATCCCAAGGCGTTCCCAGGCCAGCTGAGAGACATAGTCCCTCCAGTGTGTCCTGAGTCTTACCCGGAGCCTTTTCCCAGTGGGACATGCCCAGAACATCTCCCGAGGAAGGCACCCAGGAGGCATCCGGAACAGATGTCCGAGCCACCTCAGCTGGCTCCTCTTGATGTGGAGGAGCAACGGCTCTACTCTGAGCTCCTCCCGTGTGACTGAGCTCCTCACCCTATCTCTAAGGGAGCACCCAGCCACCCTGCGGAAGAAACTCATTTCGAGCGCTTGTAGGCATGATCTTGTCCTTTTGATCATTACCCAAAGCTCATGACCATAGGTGAGGGGAGGAACGTAGACTGACGGTAAATCAAGAGCTTTGACTATCGGCTCAGCTTCCTCTTCACCACAACGGTCCGATACAGTGACCACATCACTGCCGACGCTTCACCGATCCACCTGTCAATCTCACGCTCCATCCTGTCCTCACTCGTGAACAAGACCCTGAGATACTTGAACTCCTTCACTTAAAGCAGGAATAAATTCAAAGTGGTTTATAAATAAGCCAAAACATAACCATGAAATGTTTGGACAGTTACCATAGCATTTAGCAATTCAAAACAAAATATTACATGTTTTGAATGACCAAAAGTCCTCAAAATGACATCTACAAACAGGAATCTGAAACTCACAAATAGCTTCCACATTTAAATTCATTGGAATACACAGTCATCTCTTCAGTTACTTCAGTTCTCACAATTTCCACTCTAAACCACACTTTTTTACTATTAGCCTTTGACAGCTCACAACTAATACTGTAAAATCAGTTACCCATGAGAACCCCATTTCTTTGCGAGATTTAACCCTCAGCCATGCGTCAAATTGACTTGATGCTCCTCCGGTAACCCCGCTGACATACAAGCCCATAAAGTGTACTGGAGCGTGCTCGTTAGCATGTACCTGCTGTAGTTACTAGAGGGCCCTAAAAGCCAATACCCGGACCCCACGGTGAGCTCTGTTGCCTGGGGACGGTGATGACACAGGGGGGGCCGACCATTGTCCCCTACACAAAGGATACTCATTTAGTCCTTTGGTAATTACCTAGGTCTTATGGCAGCCTTTTCTGTGGATTCCGGCTTCTTATAGAGTGGTAAACAGGACAGGCCTTGTTTTAGAGGGGTCACGCTCACTTTGGGGGCTGGAGTTAGTCAGAGGGTGGTCATTGTATTGATGAAATAATTTAATGTAAAGTGAAGTGATGTGGTTAGGCATGGAAAGGGTCAGATTCGCTGAAATAAGAGGGTCCTGTGTAGTGAAGTGATTGCGTTGAGATGATGAAGGGTCATGGTGGGATCACAGAAGTACGTGTTTGTTGAAGGGTGGGATACTGGATTAGGTTTAGAGCAAAATATTAATACAGAATGAACAGATTATTGTAGGTATTATTTGAACTTTTACCAAATATGGTTATCTATTTATGAAAAATATGTTTCTCTTAGCACAGTACTCAAAATACATGTATAGCATGTAAAAAAAAGTGTGTCATATAGCAAAAAACAGTGTGTCACAAGTAGTGTAGAGCAGGGGTCTCCAACCTGTAGCTCGGGAGCTACTAGTGGCTCTCCACCCCCTTCCAAGTAGCTCCCCAAGGGATTTCGGAATTGTACCATTGTTCCGTATAGCAAAAATTTTGTTAATTACATACTTAGTACCATTGTGCATGTATAATTTTGAAGCCCAACTTTGTGTACAAATAAATGAACAATGGTTTATATTTTATAGGCATCTAACTGTACTGTAAGCCTCACCCTCTTTCTTATAATTGTCTCAATTTCTTGCGGCTGCTAAAATGAGTAGCTCTCTGGCGTTTTAGTTTTGTAACGGTAGCTCACCGGAGTAAAAAGGTTGGAGACCCCTGGTGTAGAGACTAAAACTGACCCCTAATTGAGCTTAAATACGACAAGTGAAAGGCTTGATATCGATTTTATATCACAATTATTATAATTTTTTTCTCCATATTATCATGTTTCTTATTACTAATCACAATATTGCGATTGTAAAATTATTCATAAAGGTCCAACTTTGTCCTATTTTTGTGATAAATTATAGAAATTATATAGTTTTGATACTAGTGTCAATAATATTAAAAAATATTAAAATATCAATATATCCTATTGTTTAATGTGATGATACAGTGTCAATATTGTGGGCTGCTGTATTGATACATCACCTAAAGTTTTTTTTTTGGTATATTTTACTAAATTGTTTTGTTACAGAGCTACAGTTTTGTTTTTTTGTTCAGAGGAAGGAAACTTGATACAACACAATTGGAAGTAGTACTAAAAAAGTACTAAAATTGAACCCTAATCGAACTCAACTCTGACACTATGTGAAAGGCTTGATATCGATTTCATATCACAATGATGATTTTTCGGTATTATCATGGTTCTTATTACTAATCACAGTCTTGCTAGAAATTATATAATTTTGATACTAGTGTCAGTATTGGGGGTTTGCAAAAATATCAAAATATCAATATATCGTATTGTTTAATGTGATGATACAGTATCGATATCGTGGGCTGTTGTATCAATACATCACCAAGAATATTTTTTGGTATATTTTACTAAATTGTTTTGTTACAGAGCTACAGTTTTGTTGCTTGTTTAGACAAAGGAAACTCGGTTATGCAACACATTTGACATTTTCACTGTTTTGATTATTAAAATGTTTGTGTTTCATGTTAACTTTGCACAAGAAGTGGTTTAACAAAGACTTTTAGTATCACAGCCATGATTTAGCCATTATTTTTTTATTGAACCATATTGAATTGATTTGAAATATATCGTATTGAATTGAACGTGCATTGTATCGAGGTATGCATTGTATCGGCAACTTCTTAATGATACCAGCCCTACTTTTCACACAATACTCAAAATATACATATTGTGTGTAAAAAAGTGTGTGTCATATAGCAAACAAACAGAGTGTCACAAACAGTGTTGTCACAGGACGAGATTAAAAATGAATCCTAATCGAACTTAACTGCGACACTAAGTGAAAAGTTTGATATCCATTTCGTATTTCGAACAATAATTCGTATTTCACAATAATAAATTTTTTCCCTGTATTATCCTGTTGCTTATTACTAATCTAGGGTTACAGAAACTCGGATATCTCTGGTTTGGGTTGGTTGGTAATAATAAAATTGTGAAACTAGTGAGTAATTAAGGAAAATTGTTATGTACTCAGCACTAATGTGAGTCAGTATAGTCACATGTTTTTGTCACTTTTAAACAGCTTTTCTCTATTTTACCTAAGCAAATGACAATTTATGCCTCTCTTTACTGATCAGATTGGTCAAAAATAGGGACACCCGGAACATTTCTTGTATAAAACTGGGACAAATCACTGGTTTTGGATAAATCTGCTGGGACAGGGGACACACGGCTCAAAACTGGGACTGTCCCAGGTTATTATAGAAATTATAGAGTTTTGATACTAGTGTCAGTATTTTTTTTAATCAACCCTAGTCAAAAATGGAAAAGAGAAACCAACCAATGATCTTACTAGTTACGGTTAGGGATTCCGATTCAGCTTTTCCAGTTCCATTACCAGTATTGATACTTTGACTTGAAGTGTCTGCCTATACCCAATATTAACCGATACCAGTGTAGGGATGGAAAATGGCTCTTATTTTTTAAAACACAGTTGACTGCGAGTTGTTATGTCACTAGTATTTACAGTATACTTCAAATAACTACCGAACAGCTTTGCACGAGTAAAAGTTCAAGTTATGAAACGTTCTTGGCCAAAAACAGCCACACAGCATCTGTGTGAACCTTCAATACCAGTATCAGTGCATGCCAGTTATTATTTATCTTTAAATGCATTAATAAGTAATATTAAGTTATCCTGAATATCTCAGTATCATATCACAGTATTTAATTCCATTCAAATCCTCTTACAGTTTACGTCACACAGATCAGATATTTTTTGTTGTCCCAAGAGTCAAAAAACAAATAGGAAAACAGTCATGTAAATATAAAACAATCTTCCCTCATTGATTCGCTGATAAACTTCTGTCCCTTCATTTAAAAATGTTCAGGTTCAATATTTACTCAACCCGTGTAATTGTTTTTGATCATTTTGTTGAATTTTGTTGTGTATCTTGTATTTTGTGACTATATTTGAACTGTGTCTTAGTTTTTGTGTCTAACAGTCCGCTCTACTGTATCTGTCTTTTTCTTTTGTAAAACGAGATGGCGAGACATCTCAAGGGACTTATCCTCCAAACAAAGCCTCTGTCCCTTGTATGTACCAAAACTATTTATTGTATCAAAAATATCATGCACAGTTACACTAAAAGGGGTAAATTGTGAGATTTGAATCATCATGTTTCAAGCCGTTTGCTGTGTGCACCAGAGCCATAAATAAAACAACTAATACCGTGTCTGTAATGCAAACCTTTTTTTTTTTCAGCTCATAACTCAACGTGCATATGAATCTACAGTAGTGTTACAATTATCCAATTACTCACACATTTTTGTCTCCCAGGCCTCTCCACATCAGTACTACAGCAGCAGGCAGACGCAGGTGGGCTCTCCCCATGAACAGACATGCAGACCAGACAACAGCATGCAGGTAAGAGCCTCAATCATCCGCCATTATCACAACAAAGGAGCCATTCTTTCTACAGTGCACAATATACACACGTGGTACTGTCTCAAATTTACGCTGCACAACCAAAACTGAAAAATTTTGTCATCGAAAATACAATGAGCTACCTTCTGTTCAGAATGTTTAAGCTCATTTCTGCCACTTAAAACCTAGAACACAAACAAAGGGCTGACAAAACATTGCTAAAGAAATTTATTGAGTCTATATTTTCCCTTTTTTGACAATATACTGTAGAAGTGATTGTTTGAATGAATTACGATTTAAATTCTGAGCTAAACAATCTTGCATTATGCCATTGTCAGTGAGGTTTTTTTGCTAATTTAACTTTCCTGCATTATTTTGTATAACTGCACAGGTAGATAATCACTGTTTTATATCACTACACTGTCCGAATCAAACAGATGAAGTGTTAGGAGGGATCAGCGTTTATTCAGCGTTTCTCTCTCTCTCAAAAAAACCCCGAAAACACTCTGTTATTGATAATTTATGCAAAACTTTCAAATTGAAAAAAAAAAGGCTACAAATATGTACCTTAGAGCAGTTTTGTGAAGTATAAAACATAAAAAGAATAAAATATACTTTGAAAATGAAATAAGGCATAGAAAAACACAAATGTATCCAAAATAAACTATATATCCAGCTGTTCTACAATCTCTATATATAAAAATTTAAATAAATATACTTATTTATATTAAAATATCCCAAAATAAACCTTGTTAAGCTTTAAATCGTTTCAACTCGATTATTTGAGTGACTGTTTGACACACAAATCAAAATTGCGATCATAGTTTTTCAGGCGTCCCACTACTTCCACTTTTTTTTTTTTATATTCAGAACACTCTCAGTATGATGCCACTGTAAAGTTAGGGTGACCAGACATGCCTATTTACCCAGGACAGTCCCAGTTTAAGCCCTGTGTCCCCGTCCCAGCAGATTTATCCAAAACCACTTTGTCCCAGTTTTTTACAAGAACTGTCCCAGGTGTCCTTATTTTTGACAAATTTGACCCCTGCCAACAGTAAAGCGAGGCATACATTGTCATTTCTTTAAGTAAAATACAGAAACGGTGCTTAAAAATGACCAAAACACAAAGAAAATGTGACTATACTGACTCACATTATTGCTGAGTGCATAACAAGTTTACTTAATTAATTACGCACTCGTTTCACAATTTTATTATTACCAACCACCACAAACCAGGGGAGTCCCACTTTTCTTGTAAATCTGGTTATCAATACATTTCCATTTTTGTTTTTATTCTAGTGCAATGCTAACATTACTAAGTTTGATAAGGTGATGTGCAGTTGTTATCTAAGTACACTGCGATAGAACTTGGCACAAACAATCAAATTATCAGGTGATTTCAAATGTGGGAATTTATTGTTTATTATTTCTTATCAGTATAATCTATGCACTCTAGGGATAAATGTGTCTCGTGCCTTTCATGTAGAGTACAACATCATGATATTTTACAATCTCAAAACAGTCAACAGAGTTATAAAATCCTTATTACGCAACTCAGCTACCATTTTCCATCTGAGACTTCCTAAGCTTTTGTTACCATTGATAAAATTGCGGTCACAAACAGGTTACATCTATTGTTTTCTTACAATCAGAGCCATCGTGTATCATCAATGGGCTGTGTTGTTAGATTAGCTGTAAATCTTCAGTAAATAAACACTATTATCCATCTTTGATCATGTGCTGTGCTCTGTGTGCTCTTTGTGCTTTGTGTGTGTAGTCCGGTCAGCTGTTCTACGTGGGCCGGCCCTCCAGCTACCACCTGGAGACCCCCATGCCCCGACTGCCCTCCTATGAGAGTGTGAGGAAGAAGGACCGCCAGAGACACATCCACATGATGATCGCAGACCGCTTTGGCCTCAACGGGACTATGAGAGAGGTGGGTTCAGACAGATATCACAGTAAATGATATCCTCACATGTGCCACAGTGAACCATGTTGAAACTGTGGCCGAGATGGTTCTGTTTCTTTCTGTATCTAGGGATGTAACGATATCCAAATCTCACAGTATAATATCATAACAATAGGCTCTATTCACGTTACGTCACAAACCAGGAAAACGTTTAGAAAGATACGATTACAACTTACAGTGTGTGCTCGCCAACCGACTGTGATAAAACCCACTGAAGTAAATGTGATCAGTGGTAAAATGAATGCAGACGTATGTGCTGTTTGGAATAATCTCCTCATCTCTTCTAATTGCACGTACCCAGTGTGCTCGGAGTTGTGCGTCAATGGGGAAATGATGAAAACTGAGGTATGGTTGTAATTGTTGATTAGCTGAACATAACAGAACGCTACAATGACATGCAGATGAAGAAAACTGGGCCTGGGAAGCATCTTTCTGGTTTGTGACGTGAGCGTGAATAGAGCCTATATCGGGGGGTCGCCAACCTTTTTCCTTCAGTGAGCTACCTTTCAAAACTAAAATTCTAGAGAGCTACAAATTTTAACTGTTGCAAAAAATTTTATATTTATACATATATTGTTTAATTTTATATATAACAACCATCATAAGCCATAGATGGGGAACAGGTTAGATCTCTATAAAACAAACAATTATTCAGTGCCTAAAGTTAGGCATCAAAATGATACATTTACAATGGTAATTAATTCAGTTTTACTTATTCAGCACAGAATGTATAAGTCAGAAATCCCTTGGTGAGCTACTCGAAGGGGGTGCAGGAGCTACAGGTTGGAGACCTCTGGCCTATATATTTCTCATGGTATAATATTCCTTGCAATATCTGGGGGACTTTAACAGAATTGCCGAATTGCTACTTTTTCTTATTAAAATACATTTAATGGCATTTTGTCCAAAGAACAAAGTGCGTTTTAGCATTTATTAGTTTTTTCTTAATGTTGTCTGCACTGAAACAGAGCAAAGGGGGGTTTCCTCTGGGTGCTCCAGTTTTCTCAACCCAAATTATTCACTGTAAGTAAAATCCTCCAACTAAGGTAGTCCTGATCAAGTCTAGCATTATGTATCATTCATTCATTAGTTTTTCAATACAAAACCAAAAATAAGAAAACGAAAAAACAACTGTTTTCTTCAATATTAATCTCCAAAACCAAAATGAAAAAAAATGATAACGATAAATTTTTTCATTTTTCGATTTTGTGTTTAAATGAATAATGGAAAACACGGTTTCTGTGACTTAAACTGCGATGGTGGACTGACCCAGGACTAAACCAGGTCCGGGACCAGACTGGAACTGAGACCAGGACTTAGACCGGGACCAGACTAGGACTGAAAACAGTTTAGTCCTGGTTTAGTCCTGGTTTAGTCCTGGTTTAGGCCTGGTTCAGTCCTGGTTCAGTCCGGCATCTCAGATTAAGTCACAGAAACTGTGTTTTCTATTATTCATTTAAACACAAAACCAAAAACTGAAAAAACAAATCGTTATCTGTTTTTTCATATTGGTTTTGGAGACAAACAATGAAGAAAATAGCTGTTTTTTCGTTTTCTTATTTTTGTTTTTATATTGAAAAACGAATGAAAGAATGATACACGGATTTGACCGGAAAATATCCACTTCAATCTTGATTTTGGTCCTGTTTACTCTGTTTGAATGAGACTGTTTGAGAACAGCTCACAAACGCTATCTTAGGAACAGTACTCAGACCTGCCTCATACACCGCTACAAGTGTCGGACGATCTATTTCTCCTATCAGCTGCCCTCATCACAACAGACCCATATCAACACAAACAAGTTAGTATATAGACTAATGTAACAGGACCTTGTGCAAAGATATCTGTTAGCATTACGAGTCCGTTTGATGCACGCTTCTGCTTTGTGTCTGGAGGTGGAGCCGTGTTGATCTTCCTCCCCGGATTTGGATTTGCACAACGCTCTGCAAACAACAAAATGAGAAAAGGCACATCCAATCTAATTAAAGCCGGCATCCCGAGTGCAAACAGTGGCTGGGGAGGCTATTGTTACCCATTCTCATTTTTCTTCTCTGCCCACAGCTCTCCATTTATTATGAAGGAGACACATGATGCAAAATTAAACTTTTTACAGCTTTAAGCCATGTTATAGTTGTTTACCATTCACATTTACCCGCTTGAACTTGTACTTAGAGACATTCATGTTTGTTCTCCTGTATTCAAGATGCCATTGCTCTGATCTTCCCCAGATTTCACCACTGTTCACCAAACTTAATCTGTGATACACGTAGGATTAGGCACTCGTTTTGAAATTGATAATCCACTGCTAACTAGTGTGATCTTCAGATAATCATAGGAACCATAGGAAATCATCTCCCAGGATTCCCACGGTCATGGAAACCCTGGAAAACTCATGGCATTTTGTCAATTCAGTGAAAGTTATGGTCAAAGTCATGGAATTTTAGAATCTCTTTCACACAACTACAGCGTTCTGTTAAGATGTCATTAGACTATTATGACTATTTCTAAACGTATGCGCCTTTTGTTTAATTTTGAATGTTAAAAAACCATAAAGTGAGTGGAAAGGGTTAACATTTCATATTTAATAGGGTGTAACGATATCCAAGCCTCATGATACAATATCATCATGGTATAAACCTCACGGTACGATATTTATTGCAATATCGTGGGAAAGCTCATGATTAGAGATGTAACAATATCCAAATCTATCGGGATGATATTTTCACAATATACATCTCACGGTATGATATGATATGATATTTATTGCGATATTTTTACTTCTTCCTACTACTTTTTCCTCTTAAAATGCCTTGACAAGACTTAATCCAAAGAACTAAGACTTAAAAGTGCTTAGAACTGTTATTTCTTCTTGTAGTCTGCACTGAAATGGAGCAAAGAATCATGGTCTATGTAGTTCCCTCTGTCTTTTTTTAGCTATTGCTGCACCATAACTCTTAATTTAATCAAAGAGACTTGTAATTCGATATATATATATATATATATATATATATATATATATATATATATATATATATATATATATATATATATATATATATATATATATATATACATGATATTATTGTAAGAACTTTGACGATACGATATCCCGATATTTCGGTTATTGTTACATCCTTAATATTTAGCCCTAAAAGTATGCTTAATTCTACACATGTAGGTGCTGTAAAGTCATGGAAAAGAGGCAAGAGTCTCCCAATGCATCACACTGGACACGACAATTTTTCAACACAGAAATCAGCTGACTTTTTTCTTTTATTAACTCATTTTACATCAATATTGTCCAAAATATACAATAATGATCCACGGGCGTGATGGATTATAACTACACAGGCACAGACATCTTTCAAGTCACATAGCAGTGTCATTAGTTGCTATGGCGCTGCTGCTTTTGGGGTTTTGTGCTTCATTGGCTCATTTAAACAGACTTTGTCCTAAAGCCGGGGGCAGGAGGAGGTGGTTCAAATTTTCGCCTGACCATGTGTGGGCCTGGTGTGCACCGGGTTTAGGCTGAGTGATGGGGCTGTTACCGTCAGCGGGGGTGTTTAACTTTAATACTAGGAACCGGCCAACCTTTCTGCAGTGTGTATTTATGTGAATTCTATCTACTGTTTGGATCTTTGCATCTTCTGACACAACTGTTGTCAAAAATAAGCTGAGCAAAATTGATACTCAAAAAATTTCGAGTAACTTTATTGATACACAAGGGAAAGTATTTGGAAACAGTTGTTCACACGTTAGAATTTATTATACAGGGTTCTCACAGTCATGGAAATCCTGGGAAAGTCATGGAAATTGAAAATGTAATTTTCCAGACCTGCAAAAGTCATGGAATTTTGTAAATTCAATGAAAGTTTTGGAGAAATAATGGAATTTCAGTATATCTTTCACATAACTACAGCGTTCTGTTAAGTTATCATTAGGCTATTATGATTATTTCAGAATGTATGCGCCTTTTGTTTTAAAGACAATAAATGCACAGTGTTTTAAATTTTAAAAAACTATAATACCAAACCATAGGATGAGAGGAAAGGATTAACATTTTATATTTAGCTCTAAAAGTATGATCAATTCTAGACATGTAGGTGCTGTAAAGTCATGGAATTTTCACTTAAGGTCATGAAAAAGTCATGGAAAAGTTTTGAAATTTTTTCAGTGAAAACGAGTGGGAACAATGATTATAATAACAAACAGCAAAAGTATAAATGGTAATTATATAAATGTGTATGTACAAGTAAAAATAAATAAACATTTCTCTCAGCTATATACAAGAAGTCATACAGTGAAAACTTAAAGAGACAATGACAGAATACAGAGATTCATGTTTTCTAGCTTTATATTGTCTGTAAACAACTTTAATTGATCCATATTTTTTTGTCCCAGTGCAGATATATTGTAAAAGCAGCTTGTTTTAGTTGAACCAGGAAGATAAAACCAGGAAGAGTGCTAATATTAGGCCTATGACGATAATTGTTGTAAAACAATGACATTTGAGCTGTAAAAGTTAAATAAGTAACTTCTCTGACTAATTATTCACCAATAATAGCTTATGCCTTTTAATAACTCAGACTTACACTTAGACTTAGACAAACTTTATTGATCCACAAGGGAAATAACTTGGACACAGCAGCTCACACATCACAATAATATAATAACAAAGAGCGAAAATATAAATGGTAATAATAAATTCTAAATAAGTAGCAGAGTAAGAGTCAGGTGTCAAATAAGGCATAATTATATAAATATTTATGTTCAAGTCAGAAAAGAAAAAAAAAGTTAAAAAAAAAAGTTAAAAATCTCAGCTTTATACAAGAGGTCATAAGAAAGACAGCAAAAATGATAGGACATAAGGGTGAGTACAGTTGTAGGGAGTATTATCAATTACATAAGGCTGAGTTGTTGTACAGTTGTAGGGAGTATTATCTGTTACATAAAGCTGAGTTATTGTA